GACATAGGACATAGGACATAGGACATAGGACATAGGACATAGGACATTTCAGCGCAGTACAGGCCCTTCGGCCCTCGATGTTGCACGACCTGTGAAACCAATCTGAAGCCCATCTAACCTAAACTATTCCATTATCATCCATATGTTTATCCAATGACCATTTAAATGCCCTTAAAGTGGGCGAGTCTACTATTTTTGCAGGCAGGGCATTCCACGTCCTTACTACTCTGAGTAAAGAACCTACCTCTGACATCTGTCCTATATCTATCACCCCTCAATTTAAAGCTATGTCCCCTCGTGCTAGCCATCACCATCCGAGGAAAAAGGCTCCCACTGTCCACCCTATCTAATCCTCTGATCATCTTGTATGTCTCTATCAAGTCACCTCTTAACCTTCTTCTCTCTAACGAAAACAGCCTCAAGACCCTCAGCCTTTCCTCATAAGACCTTCCCTCCATACCAGGCAACATCCTGGTAAATCTCCTCTGCACCCTTTCCAATGCTTCCACATCCTTCCTATAATGCGGTGACCAGAACTGTACGCAATACTCCAAGTGCGGCCGCACCAGAGTTTTGTACAGCTGCAACATGACCTCATGGCTCCGAAATTCGATCCCTCTACCAATAAAACCTAACATACTGTACGCCTTCTTAACAACGCTATCAACCTGGGTGGCAACTTTCAGTGATCTATGCACATGGACACCGAGATCTTTCTGCTCATCCACACTACCAAGAATCTTACCATTAGCCCAGTACTCTGTATTCCTGTTACTCCTTCCAAAGTGAATCACCTCACACTTTTCCGCATTAAACTCCATTTGCCACCTCTCAGCCCAGCTCTGCAGCTTATCTATGTCCCTCTGTAACCTGCAACATCCTTCTGCACTATCCACAACTCCACCGACTTTGGTGTCATCAGCAAATTTACTAACCCATCCTTCTACGCCCTCATCCAGGTCATTTATAAAAATGACAAACAGCAGTGGCCCCAAAACAGATCCTTGAGGTACACCACTAGTAACTGAACTCCAGGATGAACATTTCCCATCAACCACCACCCTCTGTCCTCTTACAGCTAGCCAATTTCTGATCCAAACCGCTAAATCACCCTCAATCCCATACCTCCGTATTTTCTGCAATAGCCTACCATGGGGAACCTTATCAAATGCTTTACTGAAATCCAAATACACCACATCAACCACTTTACCCTCATCCACCTGTTTGGTCACCTTCTCAAAGAACTCAATAAAGGTTTGTGAGGCACGACCTACCCTTCACAAAACCGTGTTGACTATCCCTAATCAAATTATTCCTTTCTAGATGATTATAAATCCTCTCTCTTATAATCCTTTCCAACACTTTACCCACAACTGAAGTAAGGCTCACTGGTCTATAATTACCAGGGTTGTCTCTACTCCCCTTCTTGAACAAGGGGACAACATTTGCTAGTCTCCAGTCTTCTGGCACTATTCCTGTAGACAATGACGACATAAAGATCAAGGCCAAAGGCTCTGCAATCTCCTCTCTAGCTTCCCAGAGAATCCTAGGATAAATCCCATCCGGCCCAGGGGACTTACCTACTTTCACACCTTCCAGAATTGCTAACACCTCCTCCTTATGAACCTCAATCCCGTCTAGTCTAATAGACTGTATCTCAGTATTCTCCTCGACTACATTGTCTTTTTCCTGTGTGAATACTGACGAAAAATATTCATTTAGCTCCTCTCCTATCTCTTCGGACTCCACGCACAACTTCCCACTACTGTCCTTGACCGGCCCTAATCTTACTCTAGTCATTCTTTTATTCCTGACATACCTATAGAAAGCTTTAGGGTTTTCCTTGATCCTACCTGCGAAAGACTTCTCATGTCCCCTCCTGGCTCTTCTTAGCTCTCTCTTTAGGTCCTTCCTGGCTAACTTGTAACTCTCAAGCGCCCTCACTGAGCCTTCACGCCTCATCTCCACATAAGCCTCCTTCCTCCTCTTGACAAGAGATTCAACTTCTTTAGTAAACCACGGTTCCCTCGCTCGACCACTTCCTCCCTGCCTGACAGATACATACTTCAAGGACACGCAGTAGCTGTTCCTTGAACAAGCTCCACATTTCAATTGTGCCCAGCCCCTGCAGTTTCCTTCTCCATCCTATGCATCCTAAATCTTGCCTCATCGCTTCATAATTGCCTTTCCCCCAGCTATAACTCTTGCCCTGCGGTATATACCGATCCCTTTCCATCGCTAAAGGATTTTCTTTGGTCCCAGCTGTTCATAATCTGTTTCAATGATGTGGATGTGGTACCCAGTGTAATATTTCCAAGTTGGTGGAACTAGTTGGCAATATGTATTGTGAGGATAACGCAAAGAGGCTTCAAGGGAGTTGACAGGCTGAATGAGCGGGCAAGAACATAGACAAGCTGAGTTGCCTACTCTTGTTCTTAATGTTTCTAACATAGCACATGGAAAATAATGTACATAAATATGGTGTTATCCACGCTAGGAGGAACAGAGATGCAGAGTGTTTCGTAAAATGGAGAGAGATTAGGCAGTGCTGATATCCAAAGAGACCTGGCTGTCCTTGTTTATCAGTATGTGGAAATACTGCAGAAGTTGGACCGTTTTCCTTGTTGTGAGGCTGAAAAGAGATCTGATACAAGTTTCCAAAATCATGGAGGTGTCTGGATAGGGAGAAACTGTTTACACTCAAATGGATTAAGGAGGACAGTATTAAAATGGTGCAAAAGTAGCAAATGCAAGAATGGAGAAAAAACAAACAAACAAAGTCATACAGCAGATAGTTAGGTTATGGAATGCACAGCCTGGAAGTGTGGTGGAGGCAGGCTCAATTGAGGCATTCAAGAAGGTACTAGATGATTGTTTAGATGGAAACAATGTGCAGGGTTATGGGGAAAAGGAAGGCAGGAAATTGTCATGAGATTAAAATGCTACAGTCAGCGCAGACACAATGGGCCAAATGGACTCTTTCTGCACTCTAACTATTCTGCGATTCTGAGTGTACTGAACTGTAACCTTCATGGTTGATATTGCTGTTCTGCAATGGGCTTAGAATTTATTGATTTGGATCAAAACAAAAAGGCTTGTATAGTTTTGAAAGCTTGTTCAAAATATTTTGCAGCTTTGATATTTCATAAATGAGCCAACATTGTTTTATTTTGTTTTTCAGTACATTACAGCTGTGTGTATAAAGATCAAGCAGGTCAGAAGCACAAGTACACAGACAACTAACTAGCCATTCACTTCACAATCACTCCACTAGATAAAAATCAGCAGGAACTAATGCACTGCATCTCAGGAGAAGTAACTAAGCATGTAGCCTTTATTGTCACCTGACCAATAATTCCAGGCCTGAAAACATTTAGAGCAAAATCAGTAGTACAGAAGTATCTAATTCATTAAACATCGGAAGGACTGGGGGGTGGGGGAAGAAGAACACTTACCTCAGCCAGCCAATCTGATGTAATACTTTTCAGATTGTTAACACTGCAGCCTTTCCACTCTCTACGGTCACCCAAAAATGTTCAGTCTTGCTAAAGTCAAATAAGTAGGCTTACAAATCTAGATGTTAACTTATTGCAGCCTGGTCAGGAATCCAAGCAGCCCATTTGAACTAAACAGCTCACACAAGTCTTCAATTTTTAAAATGCATAGGAACAGAAAAATCTTAGATCACACAATTTACCTTGATTCTGGGGATAAGGTGCTGAAAGTGCATGGTGCTCCAGAAGATGTGAAACTGGACTCAGCTGGAGGTAATGGTGGACTCATTGTGGTCATGCTGCTACAAGGAGGCAGCAGACTCATCATTAGACGTCCCCAGGTGGCAATATTAATATTCATCTGTGATGCTCTCAAAAAGTTTCTCCCTGTGAAATAAAGTGCTTCAGTACAAAACTTGCAGTGACCATCTCTCAAGCTAATTACACAAGATATATTTTTTGTTTTGTTCATTTCACTCATGGGATGTCACTGGCTGGGCCAGCATTTATTCCACATCCTTAATTGTCCTTGAAAAGATGGTGGTGAGCTGCCTTCTTGCACTGCTGCAGTCCACTTGGTGTAGGCAGACCCACAGTGCCATTAGAAAGGGAGTTCAAGATTTTGACCCAGCAACACTAAAAGGGACCAGCAATATACTTCCAAAGTCTGGATGGTGAGCGGCTTGGAAGGGAATTTGTAGGTAGTGATATTTCCATTTATCTGCTGCCTTTATCTTTCTAGACGATAGTGGTTGGGTGTTTGGAAACTGCTGTCTCAGGAGCCTTGGTGAATTTCAGCAGTGCATCTTATAGAGAAGTATAACTGCTGTTAGTGAGCATCAGTGGTGGACTTATGGACATGGTGTCAATCAAATGGGCTGCATTGCCCTGAATGGTGTCAAGCTTGAGTATAGTTGAAGCTGCACTCATCCAGGTAGGTGGGGAGTATGCATTCTATCCTGACTTGTTCCTTGTAGATGGTGGACAGGCTTTGGGGACTCAGTTGGTGAGCTACCTTCTGCAGGATTCCTAGCCTCCCACCTGCAGATGTAGCCACAGAATGTACATGACCAGTACAGTCAATTTCTGGTCAATGGTAACCCCCAAGATATTGACAGTGCAAATTCAGTGACAGTAATGCTATTTAATATCAAGGGGTGATTTTTAGATTCTCTGCTGGAGAGTCATTGCCTGACATTGGTGTGGCATGATGTCACTTGTCAATGGTTAGGCATAAACTGTTCCAGCATCTGAGAAGTTGCGAATGGCGCCGAGCATTGGATAATCATCAGCAAACACCTTCACTTCTAAGGGACGATCATTGGTAAAGCAAGTTTTGGAGATGGTTGGGTCAAGGACTCTACCCTGATGAACTCATGCAGAACTGCCCTGGATTGGAGATGGCTAACCACAACCATTTTCCTTTGTACCAGGTATCTCCAAGCAGCAAAGCTTTCCTTCTGGTTTCTATTGCCTCTAGTTTTGTTAGAGTTCCTTGATGCCACACTGACATCAAAAGCAGTCACTCTTGCCTCGTTTCTGGAATTCAGCTCATTTGTCTACGTTTTCAGCAAGGCTGTTATGAGGTCAGAAGCTGAGTGGCCCTGCTGGAACCCAAACTGAGTGCCATTGAGCAGAAAGGAAGTACTGCTAGACAGCACTATTGATGACACCTTCCATCACTTTGCTGATGATCAAGAATAGACTGCCTGGGTTGGATTTATCCTATTGTATATTTAGGGGTCATAACTCTAAAATTTTCCATTTTGTCATGTAGATGTCAGTGTTGTAGCTGTACTGGAACCGCTTTGCTAGGGACGCAACACATTCTGGAGTGCAGATCTTCAGTCCTATTATCAGAATATTGTCAGAACCCATGACATTTCTGCATCAAGTGCCTCCAACCATTTCTTAACATCACATGCAGTAAACCAAATTAGTTGAAGGCCAGCATTTGTGATGGTGGAATCTGCTGCAGGAGGCTGATTTCAATCATCCACTCACTTCTGGCTGCAGATTGCTGCAAGGCCTTCAGCCTTATCTTTTGCAATGATATGCCAGGCTCCCCCATTGTCGGACCTCCTCTAGTGTGTTGTTTAATTGCCCACCAGCATTCATGACGAGATGTGGTAGCACTGCAGAGTTTAGGTCTGATCAGGTTAGCCATGGGATTGTTTAACCTTGTCTATCACTTGCTGCTTATGCTTTTTAGCAAGCAAGTAGTCCTCTTAACTTCGACAGGTCAACGCCTTATTTTGAGTATACCTGGTGCTGGTCCTGGCATGTCCGTTTGCAGTTTTCATTGAACTATGGTTGTTCCCCTGGTTGGATGGTAAGTGTACAGTGGTGGTTATGCCAGGCTATGAAGTTGAAAATCATATTGCAGCACATCAAATCTGGCATCAGGTCATACATGAGAAAGATTGGTAGATTGGTACTGTGGCAGGCAGTGAGGGAATGGAAAGGGAAAAGCATACTTGACCTCATCCTCACCAATGTGTCTGCTGCAGACCCAGTCTAGCAGCTGTGTCCTTTAGGACTCGACCAGTTTGCTCTGTAATGGTGCTGCTGAGCCACTCAGTGGTGGACATTGAAGTCCCTAGTGACAGAGATAGCAAGTCAAGACTGGATATTCATGAGGTGCTGTGGGTCATCAGCAGCAGTTAAGAATCAACCACACTGCCACATTGCAAGGATGGCAGCTTCCTTCCCTAAAAGATTTTGGTGAATAAGATGGTTTTTTTTATTGTTTTTTTTTTTTTAAAATGATATTTGACAATATTTTCATCATTAGACTTTCAGTTCCAGTTATTGTTTTAGGTTCACTGAAATCAAATTCTACCGTCTGCTGTGGTGGGATTTGAACTTTGGTCCCCAGAACATTACCTGGGTCTCTGGATTACTAGCCCAGAAACAATGCCATTATTTCCCCCCTGTCCTAACATGAATAATACACCTCCACCCTCCCAAGCTCTCAATCAACTTCTTTTAAACCTTTGAAGTAAAAAGAGCCATTAATTACTTCAGGTTTGAATCACAAGAAAAAAAATGCTGCACTATTTGGATTTTAAACAAAAAAGCAATCACAATTACTCACATTAGAACAAATCTCTGCTATGCTTGATAGTTCTGTTATATTTTGCTGTGCAGTCAGTTGATTTGATAAAACTCACCTTTCTCTTTCGGGAAAATTCGATTCTGTCGTCGCAGCTTTGGGGATTGGTCAATGGCAGGATTACAGAAGATCACCTGTAGCAATTCACATTATTGTTGAAGCTTCAGAAACTTTGTTTTCACAGCATATATTCAGAAGAATATGATTAAAACAACATCCTCAATAATGTGACAAAACTATTGCATGCAAAAAAATTGTACTTCTAAAAAAAAAAATACTCCTACATTAGTAGGGCAGTTTCAATCACAGCATTGAACTCCATAATTCCTATATTTAGCCATTATATTTTGAATTCAAGTGGAGCACAAGATAATTTATCAGATAGAAAAAGGGGAGAAAGTTAATTGGTTATCCCAATCTGCCCTCACAAACATTTCAGAGAAAGGCAATGCAGTAGAAATTATTTGGCTTGAATGGGTCAGCTGCTTTCTCCATAGGGAAGGCCGATCGCAAGACATGCTGCACAAGCACGAAGAGGAGAAACAATGGACAAACCTCTGCAGAAAGTATCCCCTGTGGCTCCAAGCATAGGGTCATCACATGGCACTGGTTGTCCAGGAAATCTTCAAGTCTCAGAAACTTTACTGCACATAGCTCTCGCCAGTCCCGCCAGTAAACAGCTATTTCCAATTCACGAGACTACAGAAGGAAAACCAAAACCTGCAGAATAAGTCTCTATGTTATACTAGAGTGAACTGTGACTACTAATTAGCATGGGCACACCTCTAAGCAAGCAAAGTCAATAAAAATTCCAATTAAACAATTATGCTCATAAAGAATTACTACCATGGATATATTAGAGAGGTTATAGTAAGAAATAGCAGGATTTCAAGCTTTTAAAGCCTGCTCCAACATTCAAAAAGATGATTAAACTGACATTTCCATAATTCCTTAGTGTCCAAAAAAGTACTGATCATAGTTTTGAATATACTCAAGAACTGAACATCTATAGCTGTCTGAAGTAGAGAATTTCAGAGATTCACAACATTTTGAATGAAGAACATTCTCATCTCATTCCCAAATGGCCAACTCATCACACGAAGACAACGGCTCCAAATTCCAGAACATAAAACACCTTCCCAGAATCTACTCTTAAAGTATTTTGTATTTTCAACAAGATTGCCTCATTTTTACACCAACTATTTGAATGCAGGTCTAATTAATAGTCAGTAAGTTGGTTAGCTTTTGGTTGCAGCATCTGAAATAATGGAAATTGGCAATTTCTCAAAGTGTACTTGATTACACTACATGGCATTTTGTTTGCATTTAGTTTAGAGGGTGTGTCCTAACATGTACATTATCTACAGATTGCCATGGTGACGTTACATATGTTGGAAACTCAAAACATCTGGATAAGGTTTACTGGTCTCTTTCACTGTTTCTTCAACTGGATTTAATTGGTATGGATAGACAAGACAAAACAAATGCTTGTTGCAGTTCCTGTGATCAAACATGTACAATCTACAATCTACAAGCTGAAAGACTTGAAGTGACCTAGTGGATGCAGGCCCATACAGTTTCGGATCCAGTTTTTTTTTTTTAAGAAAATGTAGTAATGGAAGAAAAAAAACAGAAAATTACATGTAGATACCAAGGAATACGACTGTATGTTCCAACTTCATTTGTTTTGCAAGTCAATACCTTCTTTCTAAACTGAGATTTTTTTTTTTTTTAAATTGCCTGCATGGATTGATTGCAAGTTTACACCACACATTTGTCTTCATGCCTAAGCATTATCAGTGTTGCAGATTCTGGTAATTTTAACCTAGTAGCCACCTGCAAGTTATTTTTAAAATGCATAACAGAGTAAATAACATGATTCTTACTCAGCAAGACATGACAGATGGTAGTGAAGTTATACTATTTTTTCAAATCATGGGTTGGCGATCAAGTGTAATTTAAACAAAGTAATGTTGAACTTCAAGGAGAGGTTTATTACTTATGATTTAAGTCAGGGTGGCTGAGGTTGGAGCACTTCTTCCTCCAAAATCAGAATGCGGTGTTACCCCAAGCTCCACTTCAGGAATTTAGCACCAAACCCAGGTTGACACTTCAGAGCACGACTACAAATGAATGCTAAAAAAGGTCTCATAACTCTATTCAAAGATGATATGGAGATTTCAAAGTGTCATTGTTCACACTCTTCCCTTAGTCAAGACCACCTTTCATCTCACTGTCATTTGTGGGACTTGCCTGCAAGCAAAGTGGTTGCCACATTCACCCATACAACTGTCAGCACACTTATTCAAATCTGAAATAATTAGGATATCTGAGACCCACGCTGTATAAATACAAGTTATCTAATAGTGATTTTACAACTTTAAAACAGAATTCAAGCATCCTTTTATGTATCAGTGGCTAGATTATTTATGTCACAGCGTAACCTCTATGATACTCTATAAAGGCATTATAATTTCAAATGGAAGAGCCAGTAACCTTTAGATGTCAATAGCAAGATTTGATGGATCAGATTTGCTGTTGGAAGCAATGATGTCAAAATTGCACATGTATATTCCACCGTGCTTCTTTTGGTTTTTAATTTTAATGCATTATTTTTCCTATCATGAGAGTTTTGGTTATCTGAAATGAGTATCCATTTAGTCAGACTTGCTGCTTTTCATTTTTCATTTAACATTTTCCTATTTAAAAGAAAAGATACTCTGATCCTGCGTTCAGCACTCTAGGTTAGAGCATTTCACATCCAACAAATCTCTTTAAAAAAACTCCCTTCATCATTTTAGTAATGATGCTATATTTCTGCACTCTAGTTGTTGACTCGACATCAGTAGTAGTTTATCCTTTCTTACTTCAAATTCTTTCCGCTGAACAGTTCCCGTTGTTCCCCACCTGACGAAGAAGCAGCACTCTGAAAGCTTGCGATTTCAAATAAACCTGTTGGACTATAACCTGGTGTCGCGTGATTTTTGACTTTGTCAACCCCAGTCTAACACTGGCACCTCCACATCACGCCAATCAGATTTCATCTCAAAAACTTTCTCTGCTCTAGTCAAATAAGCTCCAGATCCTTTAGTCAGACCACATTACTAAAGGTTCTTATTATTGATGTCACCTGAGTTAATCTTTTCTGAATCTTCTTTTTGACCTTGACCTCCGTCCTAAGTATAGTGTCCAAAACAGCCTACATATTCTAAGTGCAGCATAATTAAATGATTTGTATAGGTTTTACTATTACATCTATTTTTGGATTCTATTCATTTATAAAATTAAGAACTATAACTTCAGAATTTAAACCATGCTGACCAATAAGGCAGGTCATGGTTTGTGTCATTAGTATACCCTGTCAAGTTCAATGCTGAAGGTCTGATCCCACGTTTGATTCTTCACTGAACGCCAATGCGTTTGTCCCACAACTCGATTGTCAAGTTTCAAAACAGCACTCGCTTCAGCTGCAAAAAAAAAATTAACAGTCACCTCAAGCTCCAGCTATCTTTCACAACCTGAAAATGATGCCGTTTCCTATTGTTACATATCTAGAAAAGATTATTGAAATAAAAGACTTAGCAACTCCCACATCAGCCAGGCAAAGGAAGGGCTGGCAGATGCGTGGGAACAGGACACCTACTTGGACTTGGGTAAAGAACACAGACCCAAGATAGGAATATAAATTTCACCCCAACCACAAAAAGATCTTAGCCTCCCAACATGTGACAATAATTCAATACTCACTACTTAGTTCCTCTGATTTTAAGTAACGGCGTGCTGTATTTCGCCTATGAATACTCATCCCTGCTCGTGGCTTAACAGATGATAAAGGGGTTCCTGGACTGGGAGATGCAATCATTATCCATGAGCGACCAGGGACATTTTCAAGAAGGTTCTGGCATCCTATTAACTTTACCTCCAATGTACCTGCCAAATTAAGAAACAAGGGAAGATTTGCATAAAGCTGAAGCACAGACATTACACATACCTGGCTGGATACCAATGTCTTTGTCCACAGAGGTCAAAGAGCCAAGAAAATCCTTCAGAATATAGCTGCAGTCAGAGACAGAATGGACAAAGCCATAACCATTGCTGAAGTAATCAAGACAGGTTGGGAGGGCCACCGTCATCACTGCAGACACCCGGTACAAGCTCTACTTGACTCAGCCCTACTCCGTCAGGCTACACAGAGGACTGTCCACTCCAGGCACAGTCAAACAGGAGAGTGGGGAGGCTGTTCACCACCCACAGTTCCACATGTTCTTAAGGATCCACAGCGAGTTACTTTCAAAAAGTCACTGGCCATCCCAGCCTTTTTCTCCAGGGAGGGGGAAGAGAGAAGATCTCACCATCCTTGCTTGGACACATTGCTGTTTCTTCAGTGTTGCTGGGTCAAAATCCTGGAATTCCCTCCCCATCTATATTGTAGGTCTACCTACAGCACAACCTGCAGCGGTTCAAGGAGGCAGCTCACCAGCACTTTCTCAAGGGCAACTAGGAACAGGCAATAAATGCTGGCTCAGCCAGCAACACGCATGTTCCATGAGTGAATAAAAAGAAAAATCCAGTAAATGGACAGAACCTGGAGTTTAAGATTTAAAAACAAAACAAAAATGACTAATGGGTTCATCAAACCTATCCTTATTGATTCCTGCCGAACATTCAATTTGTTACCACTTCATTCACCTTCTCAATACTCCTCACAATTTTATAAACCTCTATAAAGGTTTATAAGGCCTCTCAACCTTCTAGGCTCCAGTGAAAGAAAGTCCCAGCCTATCTAGCCTCTCCTTATAACTGAAGCCCTCTATTCCTGGCAAGTCACTTCTGTACCCAGCTCTCCAGCTTAATAATGTCCTTCCTATAACAGAGCAACCAGAACTGGACACAGTATTCCAGAAGAGGCCTCACCAACGTACTGTACAACCTCAACATAATGTTCCAACTCTTATGCTCAGGAGGTCTCAGCAATGAAGGCAGGTATGCTAAATGCCTTCTTAACCACCCTGTGATGCAATTTTCAAAGAATTATGTACCTGAACCCCTAGGTCTCCCTGTTCTACAACACTGCCCAATGCCCTACTTTTAAATACTTATAAGTGCTTGTTTTACCAAAATGCATTACCTCGCATTTATCCAAATTAAACTTCATCTGCCCCATTCAGCCCAATTGATCAAGATCTCTTTGTAATCTTAGATAACCTTCTTCACTGTCCACTATACCATCAATCTTGGTGTTATCTGCAAACTTACTAACCACGCATTCTATATTCTCATCCAAATCATTTATATAAATGACAAACAAAAAAGAGGATCCAGCATTGATCCCTGTGGAACGCCGCTGGTCAAAGGCTCCCAGTCTATAAAACAACCCTCCACAATCACTGTCTCCTGCTAATAAACCAATTTTGTATCTAATTGGCAAGCTCACCCTGAATCCCATATGATCTAATCTTACTAATTAGTCTACCATGCAGAGCATTGTCAAAGGCTTTACTAAAGTCCAAGTAAACAAGGTCAACTGCTCTTCCTTCAATCTTCTTGGTTACTTCCTCAAAAAAAAAAAAAAAAAAAAAAAAAAAAAAAAAAAAAAAAAAAAAAA